ATGCGTCATATTGAGAACCCACCTTTATATATCTGCTAAATTTATAGCCCTCGAAAAAAAGGCACCCTATGGTTATAATAATAATTAACAAATCAGCCCACACATCATATGTTATCCATATTACATTTATTGAATAATAAATAATATTTAATTATACAGTTTTAATGTTGATACCTTCAACTGGAAGGAACTCTCTCCTACTACATCTCATCGTGGTCCTATGATGAAAGCTTATAGTCATATGGTGGCTCTAAATATTAATGGCGAAGAATATCTGGCAGTGATTGGAGGAAGTGGACCATCTTCTAATAATACACCACCACAACCTGGTGCCCAGTACAGTAATGGTCAATGCAATGAAGTACATTTGTACAGATTAAAAACTGGTCAGTATAATAATAAATGTCTACATGTAAGTACATAAATTTTTAGAACTACTTAATTCACTATTATTGAACATGTAATTATTACATGTATAACAATGATGAATGTAAATTATTCAGCTGGACTAACTATTTTGTAATTGTAGACTCTTTTTAAATTTAGTTAGTTTTGCCCCCAAGACAGTTTAAATTTGTGATAATAAGTTTAATAACTGATTTTATCAAATTTTTGAAGTATTTTCTTCATTTATTATCATAAATTTTTTTCGAGGGCTGTAAATTTTGCGAATTGGCCTAAAAATCTATTTTGCAGGTTTAATTTTCACAAGTTTACGCCGTCTGCCATCTTGTACTGTAATAATTTGATTTTTGCAGGAGTAATTTTCGCGAATCTTCAAAAAAGCTGCGAAATCCGTGAAATTTATAGTCCTAAAAGAAGTGCCCTACAGTAATTCACAATGTGTTACTGTGCATCTGTTCATTTATATTATATTATTTTTATTTTAGGTGAATGGACTTCTCCAACTGTCATTGGAGACAGATCACCTCCTATTTCTCACTTCACTTTGACATCAATAACTAATACCGTTGCTATATTGTTTGGTGGTAAAACTGATGGTAGACACAGTAATGATGTATACATATTTGAATTTACTGATACGTCTGTGGTGAGTGTGTTTAGCATTAGCTAGTATTGTATGCTTGTATTATTTATTTTTATTATTTTAGAAATGTAAAAAGTTTTCTAATCCTGGAGTATCAGTACAATGGCCTAAGGGGAGAAATGGTCATTCCAGTGTATTCATCAACTGTAGCTCAGGACCACACCTACTAGTGGTTGGTGGAGTGGGTATCAGTGACTGTTGGTTTTTAAATATAAACAAAATGAAATGGAAAGAACTGGTAAGTATTATAATATAATTATGGTGAGCATGAGTGAGCAGTGAGTCCTACTAGTACGAGACCACTAGCTGTGATCTGTCTGTTTGTACATGTACGTCACTCCTCAATGATATTTAATACAGTACATGCAACTGGTCAGTATAGACATGTGCATGTGATAAATTTAAGAAATGAAAAATTATGCTATTAAGTATAGTTTTTAATTACATAGTGGCTATTTTTACAGACCCATAATCTCATTGTATATAGCTATTTTACAGACAGGGAATAGAAATGATAATAATAGAAAGAGATATAAACATGACAATCAGCATGGTACTGGAAGTAGGATTGTGGTGGCACAGCGGGGAAGGTGTCTGGTACAATGTGGATTGGCACTGGTTTCAGATCTCCCTC